GAATAAGTATCTAAGCCATCTAGATTGTCTTCTGCTGTTTGTATGTTTTAGCTTATTTTTGATAGTGTATTCATGCAATATATCAAGGCCACGAAGTTTGTCTCTATTTTTTCATTGGAGATCTTTACTAGGTTTTACATTTAGGCCTTTGATCCATCTTGTTTTCATTTCTGTATATGGTGTGAGATATGGGCCCTGTTTCATTTTTCCTAATATCATTTGTTAAGGAGATTATCCTTGGATCATTTATTGTGTTTAGATCCTTTGTCAAAGATAATCTGTCAATAGGCTGGTTCTGCTGGACTCTCAGTTCTGTTCTGTTGATCTTTGTGTTATGCCAGAACCAAGCTGTTTTGACTACTGTGGCTGGGTAGTAAATTTTGAGATTGCGAAATGAGATGCCTCCTACTTTGTTTTTCTTTATTAAAACTTTGCTTAACTAGAGTTTCTTTCCTATTCATATAAATTTAGTGATTATTTTTCCATCACTTTAAAGAAATGTTGGAATGTGGACTGGGATTGCAATATATCTGTAGATTATTTTGAATAATATTGACATTTTCACAATATCAAGTTCATGAATTTGGTATAGTCTTCTATTTAGGTAGGTGTCTCTTGGTTTCTTATAGTAGTGTTTTGCTGTTTTCTTTGTATATGTCTTTTGTTTCTCTGGCTAGATTCATTCCTAAGTATTTCATCTTTTAGATGGCCATTTAAATGGTATTGTTTTTGTGATTTCCTTTTCAGAGCTCTCTTTATTAGTGTAAGGAGTCCTACTCATCTGTGCCTGTTGATCTTGCACCCTGAAATTTTCAATGAGTTCCAATAGTTTTCTTGCCTAGTCTTCACATGTTTACATGCATGCAATCCTATTCAGTCTGCTGTGCTGGTCCAAAGTCATGTTATTTTCAATTTCCTCATGTACATGTGAAAGTTGGACAATGACTAAGGAAGATTGTAGAAGAATCAATACATTTGAATTATGGTCTCAAGCATCAATTTGAGAAGAACATTCTAATTCTGTGCAGAACAAGGGAGAATTGTGCTTTTTCATTGTAAACCACCAGTATGCCTCTGTTTTGGCAAAGCAGTTATCTCAAGAGAACACTGCTTGCAAAAGTTCAGTATGGCCATGCTGCATCAGGCCAGCCAGAAGTTCACCCATCGGTATTCTGTCTTGCCACTTTTGGGTAGCATCTTCTCAGAGTCAGTATTCAATACACTTCACTATTCTTCCCTTAAATATTTGCAGTCTCAGAAACCCTATATATGGTTGCTAAGATTCAGAATAAACTTAATGGCAGTGGGTTGGGAATTTTGTTGTAGAGGGTCTGTTTTTTGTCTCTCTTGCTGGAATATCTGTTGTTTGATTTCTTGACTGCTGCTTCCAAGAGCATAGATAGTGGATTCAAGTAAAAAAAACTCCTTCACACCTTCAATCTTTTCTCCATTTATAATGATGCTTTTGAATTGGTCCAGCTGTGAGGATTTTTGTTTTCTTTACATAGAGTTGTATCCACACTGAAGGCAATATTCTTTGATCTTAATCAGTAGACTTCCCCCGTTGTATTTTGAGTGCTTTCCATTCATGGGACTCATCATTCAGCAAATAATCAGAAAGTGTTCTGTTTGTATTCACAAAGTTTTCATTGGCTAATCCCTCAGAAGTCCATTGCTTATTCCTTCTTTATAAACTGCTCTTAGTCTAAAATATCCATTGAAACATGTCTGTCATGGATGACCCTGTTGGTATGTTGAACACTGGTGGTATAACCTCCAGCATCATAGCAACACACAAGCTACCAGAGCATGGCAAACTGACAGACAAGTAGGGTCGAGGACAAGTGGATAAAATTATTCATAAAAATTATCTGCTGAATGAAGAAGACATAAAGTCTCAAAGAATTTGTAGAGGAATGCATTGCCATAGGAAAATGTTTGGAACTAGAGACACAGAAGGTTAGTCAGCTTCAGCATGAAGGAGATGATGGAACATTTGGGATTGCACAAAATTCTCAGTTAAACAGCACTAGATCTATAGATACTGCATAGGAAGTAATGAAGCATTTAAAAATATATAAACAATAGCATGTCTGTTACATTGCTGTCTGTTTTATGTGGCTAAGTTTGCTTTGATCTCTTCTCTTTTCCAGTAGCTTCATCAGCTAAATGGAACCAGGAAACAAAACAAGTAGTTTAGAATTCATCCTCTTGGGGTTCTCAGATGAGCCAGAACTTCAGCCCCTCCTCTTTGGACTGTTTCTGTCCATGTACCTACTCACCTTCACTGGGAACCTGCTCATCATCCTGGTCATCATCACAGACTCTCACCTCCATACACCCATGTACTTTTTCCTCTCCAACCTCTCTGTTGCAGATATTTGTTTCACCTCCACCACTGTCCCGAAGATGCTATTGAATATTCAGATGAAGAATAAACTTATCACCTATGAAGACTGCATCACTCAGTTGTATTTTTTCTCACTTTTTGGAAGATTAGAAAATTTCCTCTTGACAGTGATGGCCTATGACCGTTTTGTGGCCATCTGTCACCCACTGCACTACACAGTTATCATGAACCCCAAGATCTGTGGTCTAATGCTTCTGGCATCCTGGTCATTGAGTATTCTGGACTCTCTATTACATAGCTTAATGGTTTTGAGACTAACTTTTTGTACAGAATTGGAAATCTCCCAGTTTTTCTGTGAACTTAATCAGATAGTCCACCTTGCTTGCTCTGACACCTTCCTCAATGACTTAGAGATGTATTTAGAAATTGGACTTCTGGGAATTATTCCACTCACTGGGATCCTTTATTCTTACACTAAGATTGTGTCCTCCATTTTGAAGATTGCATCAGCTGGGGGAAAGTATAAAGCCTTTTCTACTTGTGGATCTCATCTCTTAGTCATTTCTTTGTTCTATGGTACAGGTCTTGGAGTTTATCTTAGCTCTACTGTTACTCAAAACTCCAGAGCCACTGCAATAGCCTCAGTGACATATACTGTGGTCGCACCCATGCTGAACCCTTTTATTTACAGTCTTAGAAATAAGGACATAAAGCAGGGCCTAAGAAAACTTTTCAACTGAAAATTTTTCTCTCCACAACAGAATGATTTCTCTCAAGTCTACAGTTACTTATGAACAGAAGAGCTCAAAATCATGAAGACCAAATTCATATTTTCAACAGCTCAAAGCTCTGCATTCTTTCCAGAACCCAATATCCTTTATTTTTATACATTATATGGAATTGTTTCTAGTGTCTTTCATTCTATTTTTTTTTTCTGTCTTCTATTTATAATATCTTCTTAGCCAAAATCTTCCCTTCAACGGGCAATTTCTTTAGCGTGACTCCAGATGATTCAATATGAAACAGATTTTCCAATGCAAGTCATGTAGTACCAGCTCAAGATTCTCCCGTTGGAATAGCATAATTACTATGTTCATACCCCAAAATTTACAATATCAATTTCCAGATTCCTATTTTGGTGTCTGTTTCTTTTGATCAGTTCTAGCATGAAGTATCTTACTTGTTTGGTTTATTTTCTTTAAACAGAGGTTTTGTTGAGTATTTTGAGCAGCAACTCTGTAAGCCTGTATTTATTAAATTGTGAAAAGGGTTGGTGGTATGTCCTTCAAATCTTCAAAATGAATTCCAGAACAACACTGAAAACCAGAACTGCTAAGAACTTTAACACTTCTTCTATCACCAGGAAGATGTCATTATTAACTGTAATTATTGGCTGCAATCCACGTAGTAGAAAATGTTTCTTATAATTGTTAGTACAAAGCTCATTGTGTCTGCTAGGTCTGCATTTGCTTAAAACAGAGTAGGCAAATCACTCTTGATACCCATTATATTACTAACCT